TTCGTTCTAAAGTTGTATTTTCGACGGATTTTTCCGTTATTTCACGATCATGACAATGAGCACACGGCGGGTGTGACCAGTCAGCAAGGGAGGCTCACTCCTCCATGGCACCTGATCTCACTTCTGATGTTTCGGAGGTCCGTGTTTGCTCTGCTCTTATTTTGTATTGTTTTATGGACTTTGATATTGAATACTCTTCGTTATCTCCATATCCTTCTCAACAGTTAAATCGGTCCTAGAATTGCTCACAAATTGTTCAACAGAGGTTTTTACAGGAAAGCCCTAGTTCATTTTGATAATGTGTCTTCTCTTTCATATTAAACACATTGTCTGGCATACTTCTCAACAAAGATGTATTGTCTTTTCAGTTGAAATAGCCGGTTTCCCTACATGTTTGCACTTTTAAAAAAAATTTTCAGATGCCTTAAAATACGGGAAAACATGACATAGTATTCACCTGAACTATATTGAAATACTTCTCCCGACCAATATGGGATCAAATGTAACTAAATATTATGGAGTCAATGTCTTGTTGACAAATTGTAGTTTTAAAAAAATTCGATGGTGAGCTTCTCAGCAGATTTTGGTCTGGACCTTTATTTCTAAACTTCTGCATCATTTTTAAGTTCTAATACTTAATCTGGATTCTACAATGCAAATTGAATGACATTTTCCGTTATTTCCCGATCATGACAAGGAGCACACGGCGGGTGTGACCGGTCGGCAGGGAATATTCACTCCTCCATGGCACCTGATCCCACCTCTGATGTTTTAGAGATTCGTATTTGCTTTGCTCCTATTTTGTATTGTTTTATAGACTTTTGATCTTCAATACTGTTCGTTATCTCCATATATATAATTGTTATTGTTTTATCCTTGGTGTTACCATTAAGACTCAATATATTAAAATATATATATGAAATCACAAGCCATTTTATATATAAAATCGTACACTTTCATTAACATTTATAAGGTAATATCATTGTAGTGCTTTTTTTGGAGGTAATGGGAACAAATTTATCATTTCTTATTTTTGTATTACTTTTATGTCCTTTTTGTTCGGAAAATATCCTTCGTGTTACTAACACATTTTTACTGAGTTCATTTTTTCCCCCACAATTATATCGAAACCTGCAAAACAATCCTGTTGTCATCTTCTACAAAGTATAATTGAAGCCAGTGTTTTGTGCTGAGGTAAAATGATGTATGCTTTAAATTTATATGTAATAATGATCTAATGTTACAAACTGGTCACGGTAGCCTAGTGGTAGAGCGTTCGCTTCGTGATCGCGGGAGGCCCGAGTTCGATTCACCTTCCCGGCGCCGCGTCAAACCTAAGACGTAAACATAGGTAGTTACTGTTCCTTCGCCAAGCGCTCGGCACTAGAAGTGAAAGTCACGGGTCCTTCGGATATGATCTTAAAAACGTCGGCCCCGTGTCACGGTAGGCGTTGGCACGATAAAGAACCCTCACTGCTCAATGGCCCTGAGTGCTGAGTATAGGTGTAAAGAAATACGCACGCTAACTCTCGATTCCCACTTACATTTTGGAACCATTTAATTCAATATAAATAGCAATTTGGCCATAAAATCTTTGTTTAATACAAAGAACAGTTCAATGGTAATTGATGAATTGTTTTAATACAAGCGCTAAACAGTAAATTATCCATAATTCCAGCTCTTGAAGAAAGGGGGGTAGACGATATTTTCATTTGAAATCGGAGTTTCAAGCATCACCATATTTTGAAATAGTCTTGGATATGATTAAATTTTCCGTATATCTTTTCTTATGTTTTAGACAAATAAATGAAACATAAATATATCAATAAAATATATTGTTTCAGTTGTAAATCGCTTTGAAAAATGGTGAAAAATGAGCATTTTTATAGTTTTTATGTCAATGAACATATGTCTCTCCCCCCCCCCCCCCGTGTAACACAAAAAGCTTTGGTATAGATTTGTGAAATAACATTCCATATTACCTGTAAAAAGGAATTTTTGTCACAGGGGGCGAAAAGATGTTTTTAAAATATTTTCCGATTTTCGTTGATTTCTATAGCGAAAAACACAAGTTTTACCAAAATTTTAAAGTTATCCCTCTTTGTTTTCCCAAATAAGTAATGTTTTATAAAAATCCATATAATTATCTATAAACATTTTTAAAAATTCATCGAATATGTTAACTTTTGAAAATTGACTTGGAGGTAGGCGGGAGAACAATACTATCGTTCGCAGTTCTTTGAAGCCCTTCACCGCTAAACGGTGACGTCTCCATATGTGTGAAAAATTCTCGAGTGGGACGTTCAACAATATACAATCAATCAATCAATCCATCAATCAAATGTTACAACTCTTACAACTGACAACTATTCGTATGTGATCTGATAGATCTCTCTTAAGACTCCTCAATTTGTATTGATTGTATAATTCTTATCAAGATTGACGTTATAATTCTAGAAACTTTAAATTTTTGTAAGTTATTATCTTATTGCAGCTTCTAAGTAACACTATGGACATTTATTGTTGACTGCATGTACTTATGCGTATTTATGTAAATAAAGAAATATATGTGATCTAAATGTTTACAGAGTTGTGGTATTTGGGTTTATTACAATTGTATAAATGAACGAGTCTTTAATTTCCGGGTTATGGTTTCTAAGCACCCTCTAGTGACGACTATTAGCCTGATCCTCATCAGAATAAGATTTGGCTCCCAAAAGCGTGGTGTAAAACTTTTATAGTAAATGTAAATAGAATTCTTTGTGCTTCAATATTGTTTAGGAACCTCTGATGTTTGATTGCTAAAATAAAACTTTTAAGAAATTGAGATTTCAGCATCTCACCTTAATGCAATCACATCGTCTCGGGTCTTTCCTTCAGACGTCGGAAAAAACAACCTCGAAGAGTTCTTAGGACATAGGACACAGACTATCAATTATTTTGCTAAACATATCTCTTTTATGCAAAAATTGATTTAAAAAATCACACCGTCTCAAATTACTTGAAACCTGGCACAGAGTAAGAAGAAAAAAAATTTCAGGCTCTCGGGGAAATTCATAGTATGCAGGTTCTGCTATGGCATCGCAAATAACACCTAACCTGTTTTTTTTTCCCACTTTCTCTTCGGGGAAAGGGTAAATATGGGCCTCTTTACACCCTTCCTACTACGCGTTTCAGTGCAAAATTTCCCATCATTATCAATTTTATATTTTCTTTCAATCCCTGTCCTTTCCATCTATGCCCAAAAATAACACCATTGCACTTCATAAACATCCCAAAGGATTTTTTAAGAAGAAAGCTCTATTTTTAAACAGGTACTACTTAATGAAATAGGGGTAAAATTAGTAGTCTGTAAATGAAATAAGGGTAAAATTAGTAGTCTGTAACCTTAACATAATGCGCATGTTAAAAATTTATACATCTTCCTACTTAATCAAAAACAGAATAGACGGATTAAAATTCCCTTCTGTAGTATATTTTAGGTAATATCTTTACATTCAATTACGTTAAACCCCATACTCCACAGATAAGAGGTATTTCAACATTTATTTCAAAGTTTGTGAAAAGGGGGGGGGATGTCGTCTACGTATTACATTCGAGGTTGTTTTTCCGCTTGTTGGAAAGGCCCGAGAAGTTGCGACTGACCTTAATGTTAAGCTCAGTCACATTTATTATACTAAGGATGAGATTCATACAATTTATAACAGATAACTGGGATTTTTGTAAGAAAAGAGCTTTACCTATACATTTCAATAACAACTTCCAAAATTAATTCTTGCGAATAAACTGAGAACATAATTAGACACTCAGAGCATTATATCTATAGGTAAAATTTAATTATGATAAGGAGACTTATCTGTTTTTGAAATCCATCAATACATCAATTTGATGATATTTTGGAAATAAAAAGAGAACAAGAAAAAGTGTTTGAAACAATTCTTTTAATTTGATTTTCGGTCATGAATCAGGTCAATTTCCTCGAATTTCAGGACCAATCCAGGGAAAGAGTTAGTCTCTTCGACATCGTCTATTGCAGACATTGAAGGTATTCCCGCAGTTAGCGACGCAGTCCCGTCTCCTCCTGGCCTTCAGTTTCTTACAACTTTCCTCACAGTCTCGGCGAGCGGTTCTGCAGCGAACAGTGCAAATATCAGCCACCGCTGTTGACACGATCATTCCAACGACCAGCAGAGAAACCAATAGTTTGACCTGAAAATTGGTAAGCAGCCATTTCTGATGTATAGTGGAAAAACCAAATCAAGAGCAGATAACGAAATTAAAATACTGTAAATGAAATGTTTCAAATACATTTGAGAAAAGATACATTCTTCAGATAAAAATTGAGATTTCCTGAACGTTCGTGAACATTTGATATATGTTCATAAAGTGTTTATTTGGATGGCACAATTTATAGAAGTAATCGTAAAATTTCCCTTCACAAAACTTCTTTTACTTACGTTCATTTTGCTCTCAATAAGGGACAATGCCTCTAATCTGCGGGAAATATAACTTTTTTGTCATGAAATGAACATTTTCTGACAGAAAGCATACAAGAAGCTTAACATTACAGTAAATATATGAAAAAAACGTACCTTTTGACAATGTTCGAAGATTTACTGTTAGAAAGACTGGGCTTTTATACTTTCTATTTATGAGATATTGACAAATATTAAATTATGATCTGCCATCACCATCGTTAATTTTGTAACATCTCTCTTGCATTATCGGGTCATTAACTTCAGAGATGTGGGCTTAGTTAACCTAGTACTAGTAACTTTAAGTTTTAATAGTTTTTGGACACAACAATACATTTCTTTCTAAAGTTGTATTTTACTCAACAGTTAAATCGGTCCTAGAATTACTCACAAATTGTTCAACAGCGGTTTTTACAGGAAAACCCTAGTTCATTTAATAACGTGTCTTCTCTTTCATATTATGCACACTGTCTGGCATACTTCTCAACAAAGATGTATTGTTTTTGTAGTTGAAATAGACGGTTTCCCTTAATGTTTGCCCTTTTAGAAAAATTTCAGATGCCTTAAAATACGGGAAAACGTGACATAGTATTCAACTCAACTATATTGAAATACTATACCCAACCTTTATGGGATTAAATATAACTAAACATTATGGAGTCAATGTCTTGTTGACAAATTGTAGTTTAAGGAAATTTGATCCTGAGCTTCTGAGCAGATTTTGGTCTGAATCTTTATTTCTAAACTTCTGCATCATTTTTGAGTTCTAATATTAAACCTGGATTCTACTATGCAAATTGAATAAAATTTTCCGTTATTTCCCATCATGACAAGGAGCACACGGCGGGTGGGACCGGTCGGCAGGGAATGTTCACTCCTCCATGGCACCTGATCACACCTCTGATGTTCTGGAGGTCCGAATTTGCTCTGCTCCTATTTTGTATTGTTTTATGGACTTTTGATCTCGAATACTGTTCGTTATCTCCGTATATTTCATTGTTATTGTTTTATCCCTGGCGTTACTATTTAGACTCTTTATATTAAAAGATATGAAATCACAAGCCATTTTATCTATAAAATCATATACTTTCATTAACATTTATAAGGTAATATCATTGTAGTGCTGTTTTGGTGGTAATTGAAACACATTTATCATTTCTTATTAATATTTGAACAAAATAACTTTTGTGCTACTTTTATGTCCTTTGTGTTAGGAAAATATCCTTCGTGTTACTAACACATTTTTACTGAGTTAATTTTTTCCCCCACAATTATATCGAAACCTGCAAAACAATCCTGTTGTCATCTACTACAAAGTATATTTGAAGCCAGTGTTTTGTGCTGAGGTAAAATGATGTATGCTTTAAATTTATATGTAAGAATGATCTAATGTTACAAACCGGTCACGGTAGCCTAGTGGTAGAGCGTTCGATTCGTGATCACGGGAGGCCCGAGTTCGATTCTCGTTCCCGGCGCCGCGTCAAACCTAAGACGTAAACACAGGTAGTCACTGTTTCTTCGCCAAGCGCTCGGCACTAGACGTGAAAGTCACGGGTCTTTCGGATATGATTTTAAAAACGTAGGCCCAGTGTCACAGTAGGCGTTGGCGCGATAAAGAACCCTCACTGCTAAATGGCCGTGAGTGCCGAGTATAGGTCTAAATTTGAAGCCCTTTACCGGCAAACGGTGACGTCTCCATATGAGTGAAAAATTCTCGAGTGGGACGCTCAACAATACACAATCAATCCATCCATCAATCAAATGTTACAATTCTTACAACTGACAACTATTCGTATGTGATCTGATAGATCTCACTTAAGAATCATCAATTTGTATTGATTGTATAATTCTTATCAAGACGTTGGCGTTATAATTCTAGAAACCTGAAATTTTTGTAAGTTATTATCTTATTGCAGCTTCTAAGTAACACTATGGACATTTATTGTTGGCTGCATGTACTTATGTATATTTATGAAAGTGATCTAAATGTTTACAGAGTTGTGGTATTTAAGTTTATTACAATTGTAGAAATGAACGGGTCTTTAATTTCCGGGTTATAGTATCTAAGCACCCTCTAGTGATGACTATTAGCCTGATCCTTATCAAAATAAAATTTGGCTCCCAAAATTTGGTGTAAAACTTTTATAGTAAATGTGAATAGAATGTTTTGTGTTTCAACATTGTTTAGGAACCTCTGTTGTTTGATTGCTAAAATAAAACTTTTAAGAAATTGAGATTTCAGCATTTCACCTTAATGCAATCACATCGACTCGGGTCTTTCCTTCAGAGGTCGGAAAAAACAACCTCGAAAGTTCTTAGGACATAGGACACAGACTATCAATTATTTTGCTATACATTCCTTTATAATGTAAAAATTGATTTTAAAAAAATCCCACCGTCTCAAATTACCTGAAAACTGGCACAGAGTAAGAAGAATTAAAGTCCAAAATAATTTTCAGGCTCTCGGGAAAATTCATAGTATGCAGGTTCTGCTATGGTATCGCAAATAACCCCTAGAAGCTTTTTTTCACTTTCTCTTCGGGGAAACGGTAAATATGTGCCTCTTTACACCCTTCCTACTACGCGTTTCAGTGTAAAATTTCCCATTATTATCAATTTTATATTTTCTTTCAACCCCTCTCCTTTCCACCTATGCCCAAAAATAACACTATTCCACTCCATAAACATCCCAAAGAATTTTTAAGAAAAAAGCTCTATTTCTAAACAGGTACTACTTGCGTGGTCAATGAAATAGGGGTAAAATTAGTAGTCTGTAACCTTTCCATTATCCGGATGTTAAAAATTTATACATCTTCCTATTTCATCAAAAACAGAATAGACGGATTAAAATTTCCGTCTTTAGTATCCTGGCGTCATGGGTTTCCGATAGTCTAACAATAACAGCGGTCCTAATTTTTTTCAAGTTCAGTCAAAGATTTTCAGACTCTTTCAATTTTGAACCCTGGGCTTTTCATTAAAAATCACTGACAAAAAATGGGCATAAAGTCGACATCATATGCATTTTCTAGCTAACAGTAAAATGGAAACCGTAATTGACCAATCAAAAGGAGCGTCATATGTTTCCGATAGTTTGATTCGTCGATAAAGTTCTTTACTACAATAAGGTGAACAGCTAGGGCAATAATCAAAATGAAAAGTATATCGTAAAAATATATTAAATATATTTAATCATGTACACATAATTAATATTTATTGTATTAACATGCAATACCAGATGATGATAATGCTTGGAAAACAGATGTTTCAGTGAGTACAATTTCTCTCCATGCGCACAAACGTTATTTAAATGCAATTACATTTTATTGTAGATGTCATTTATTCACAGCATGGACAATTTAAAAATGATGTGTTTTTCCTGACAGCACAAACAGGTGAACAGTCCTGGAGATGAACCCAAGGTCCAAATGACTCACATTGAAACCATTTGAAAAATGCAATTTCATAAAAAATTCTTGACTTTACTCACAAATTCTTACAGACTCAACACTTGTAATTTTCGCTCATCTGCAAATAAAAATTCTTACAGACACAACCCTTCTCATTTTCACTCATCTGCTATTCATATCCTTCCTCATCTGAGTTTAAAATATAATCAACTGAAATGTTGAGTGAATCAGTATAAGGTTGATGAAAGATATGGTCCAGGTTGTTAAAACTATGGTTCCTGTTTAGTTTTGGTCAGTGGTTTTTCCACAGTTTTTGCAGTTTTAGAAGATAATGTGTTGTATGATTTTTTTTAAACGGCACGATATATTTTAGGCAATATCTTTACATTCAATTAAGTTAAACCGCGTACTCCACAGATAAGAGGTCTTCCAACATTTATTTCAAAGATTGTGAAAAGGGGGGATGTCGTGACATTCGAGGTTGTTTTTCTGCTTGTTGGAAAGGCCCGAGAAGTTGCGATTGACCTCAATGTTAAGCTCAATCATTTTATTATACTAAGGATGAGATTCATACAGTTGATAACAGATAACAGGTATTTTTAAGAAAAGAGCTTTACACACCTATATATTTCAATAACAACCTCCAAAATTAGTTCTTGCGAATAAACTGAGTACATATTTAGACACTCAGAGTATCATATATATAGGTAAAATTTAATTGTAATTAGGAGACTTATCTGTTTTTGGAATCCATCAATGTGATATTTTCGAAACAAAAAGAGAACAAAAAAACGTGTTTGAAACAATTATTTTAATTTGATTTCGATCATGAATCATATCAATTTCCTTGGAATTTCACGACCAATCCAGAAAGTGAGTTAGCCTCTGCGACATCGTCTATTGCAGACACTGAAGGTATTCCCGCAGTTAGCGACGCAGTCCCGTCTTCTCCTGGCATTCAGTTTCTTACAACTTTCCTCACAGCCTCGACGAGCGGTGCTGCAGCGAACAGTGCAAATATCAGCCACCGCTGTTGACACGATCATTCCAAGGACCAGCAGGGAAACCAATAGTTTGACCTGAAAATTGGTAAGCAGCCATTTCTGATGTTTAAAGGAAAAACCAAATCAAGAGCAGATAATGAAATTTAAATACTGCAAATGAAATGTTTCAAATACGTTTGAGAAAATATACATTCTTCAGATAAAAATTGATATATCCTGTACGTTCATGAACATTTGATATATGTTCATAAAGTGTTTATTTGGATGGCACAGGTTATAGAAGTAATCGTAAAATTTCCCTTCACAAAACTTCTTTTACTTGCGTTCATTTTGCTCTCACTAAGGGACAATGCCTCTAATCTGCGGAAAATATAACATTTTTTTCATGAATTGAACACTTTTGTGACAGAAAGCATACAAGATACATAATATTACAATAAATATATGAAAAAACATACAGTACCTTTTGACGTTGTTCGAAGATTTAAACTCTCTTAGAAAGATTGGGCTTTTATACTTTCTATTTATGAGTTATTAACAAACATTAAATTATGATCTGCCATCATCATCGTTAATCTTGTAACATCTCTCTTGCATTATCTGGTCATTAACTTCAGAGTTGTGGGCTAAGTTAACCTAGTACTAGTAACTTTGAGTTTTACATAGTTTTTGGACACAACAATACATTTCGTTCTAAAGTTGTATTTTCGACGGATTTTTCCGTTATTTCACGATCATGACAATGAGCACACGGCGGGTGAGACCGGTCAGCAAGGGATGCTCACTCTTCCATGGCACCTGATCTCACTTCTGATGTTTCGGAGGTCCGTGTTTGCTCTGCTCCTATTTTGTACTCTAATCTAATCTGCGGAAAATATAACATTTTTTTCATGAATTGAACACTTTTGTGACAGAAAGCATACAAGATACATAATATTACAATAAATATATGAAAAAACATACAGTACCTTTTGACGTTGTTCGAAGATTTAAACTCTGGTAGAAAGATTGGGACTTCTATAACCTGTGCCATCCAAATAAACACTTTATGAACATATATCAAATGTTCATGAACGTACAGGATATATCAATTTTTATCTGAAGAATGTATTGTTTTATGGACTTTGATATTGAATACTGTTCGTTATCTCCATATCCTTCTCAACACTTAAATCGGTCCTAGAATTGCTCACAAATTGTTCAACAGAGGTTTTTACAGAAAAACCCTAGTTCATTTTGATAATGTGTCATGTCTTTCATATTAAACACATTGTCTGGCATACTTCTCAACAAAGATGTATTGTCTTTGTTTAATACAAAGAACAGTTCAATGGTAATTGATGAATTGTCTTAATACAAGCGCTAAACAATAAATTATCAATAATTCCAGCTCTTGAAGAAAAGGGGGTAGACGATATTTTCATTTGAAATCGGAGTTTCAAGCATCACCATATTTTGAAATAGTCTTGGATACGATTAAATTTTCTTTATATCTTTTCTTATGTTTTAGACAAATAAATAAAACATAAATATATCAATAAAATATAATGTTCTAGTTGTAAATCGCTTTGAAATTGGTGGAAAATGAGCATTTTTTGTATAGTTTTTTGTCAATGAACATATGCCCCCCCCCCCCCCCCCCCCCCCCCCCCCCATGTCACACAAAAAGTTTTGGTATGGATTTGTGTACTGACAGTCCATTTTTCCTGTAAAAAGGAATTTTTGTCACACGGGGCGGAAAGATGTTTTTTAAAATATTTTCCGTTTTTCGTTGATTTCTATAGCGAAAAACACAAGTTTTACAAGAATTTTAAAGTTATTTCTCTTTGTTTTCCCAAATAAGTAATGTTTTATGAAAATCCATTTAATTATCTATAAAAAATTTTTAAAAATTCATCGAATATGTTAACTTTTGAAAATTGACTTGGAGGTAGGCGGGAGAACAATACTATCGTTTGCAGTTCTTTGAAGCACCTTCACCGCTAAACGGTGACGTCTCCATATGAGTGAAAAATTCTCGAGTGGGACGTTCAACAATATACAATCAATCAATCAATCCATCAATCAAATGTTACAATTCTTATGCCTAGGTCACATTTAAGCCGATGGTCGGACGACAAAATTTTTTTGGTCTTGTCGGCTGAAAGAACATGATCGGCCGACTCAGTATCGGGCGAACGGAGCAGTCACATTATTTCCTAGGGACACCGATGACTTGTATAGATAACACAAAAAATCTTTTTCTCTCGAAATCAGCAATATTTTTTTCAAAGATCTATATTCAGATAGGTGATGTGAGTAATGTTTGCAAGGCAAAGTGACAGAATCTTATAAAATTGTGACTCAATGTTGAAAATGTGTGCAAAATTTTGTATGGAATGGCATAAAAACGACAAATGGTGCATATCTAAGCAGCAAAGAATACTTAAGATTTCTTCATATCTTACGGATTAATTATTTATGTTATTTCCGTTCATAAAATATATATCAATCCATGCACCAAAATTTTGTTTGTGTTATGTATCCCTAATAGGTTAGATATTCATAAGTCGGCCAATCGTCGCCGGATCATCTAGCTCTGAGCTACAGTTTGATTTTAACCGTCGGCCGAAATTTTAAACAATCTTATTGCCTAACGACGGACGACCGACTTAATAAACTGACCGCCGAAGGTCGGACGATGATCGAAGGTCGGTCGACGGATAACTTCAATTGAGGAAATCGGCCACCGACGCAGGAAAAATTATAACTTGGACCGATGGACACAAAATTAGTCGGCCGACAAAAAAAAAGAGGTCAAAATCGGCCAAGACAACGGCCGATGAACTGACGACTGTCACCCGAAGAATCCCGTTTTTGCTTCAAAACCCGTCGGCCGTTGGTCGTTTTTGGAAACGGGGGTTTTACAACTGACAACTATTCGTATGTGATCTGATAGATCTCTCTTAAGACTCCTGAATTTGTATTGATTGTATAATCCTTATCATGACGTTATAATTCTAGAAACTTTAAATTTTTGTAAGTTATTATCTTATTGCAGCTTCTAAGTAACACTAGGGACATTTATTGTTGGCTGCATGTACTTGTGCGTATTTATGTAAATAAAGAAATATATGTGATCTAAATGTTTACAGAGTTGTGGTATTTGTGTTTATTACAATTGTATAAATGAGCGGGTCTTTAAATCCCGGGTTATAATTTCTAAGCATCCTCTTGTGACGACTATATGCCTGATCCTTATCAAAATAAAATTTGGCTCCCAAAAGCGTGATGTAAAACTTTTATAGTAAATGTTAATAGAATGTTTTGTGTTTCAACATTGTTTAGAAATCTCTGATGTTTGATTGCTAGATTAAAACTTTTAAGAAATTGAGTTTTAGCATCTCACCTTAAGGCAATCACATTGCGTGGGTCTTTCCTTCAGACGTCGGAAAAACAACCTCCAAAGTTCTTAGGACATAGGACACAGACTATCAATTATTTTGCTATACATTCCTTTATAATGTAAAAATTGATTTTAAAAAATCCCACCGTCTCAAATTACCTGAAACCTGGCACAGAGTAAGAAGAATTCAAAATTCAAAATAATTTTCAGGCTCTCGAGAAAATTCATAGGATACAGGTTCTGCTATGGCATCGCAAATAACCCCTACCCTGTTTTTTCACTTTCTCTTCGGGGAAAGGGTAAATATGTGCCACTTTACAACCTTCCTACTACGCCTTTCACTGCAAAATTTCCCATTATTATCAATTTTATATTTTCTTTCAACCCCTCTCCTTTCCACCTATGCCCAAAAATAACAACATTCCACTCCATTCCAAACTGGTACTACTTGCGTGGTCAATGAAATAGGGGTAAAATTAGTAGTCTATAACCTTTACATAATCCGGATGTTAAAAATTGTGAAAAGGGGGATGTCGTGGCGTCTAAGTATTACATTCGAGGTTGTTTTTCTGCTTGTTGGAAAGGCACGAGAAGTTGTGATTGACCTCAATGTAAAGCTCAATCACATTTACTATACTAAGGATGAGATTCATACAGTTGATAACAGATAACTGGGATTTTTGTAAGAAGAGAGCTTTACACACCTATATATTTCAATAACAACCTCCAAAATTAGTTCTTGCGAATAAACTGAGTACATATTTAGACACTCAGAGTATCATATATATAGGTAAAATTTAATTATAATTAGGAAACTTATCTGTTTTGAAATCCATCAATACATCAAATTGTTGTGAAATTGTGATGAAATTTTGGAAAGAAAAAGAGAACAAGAAAAAGTGTTCTAAACAATTCTTTTAATTTGATTTTCGATCAGGAATCAGGTCAATTTCCTCGGATTTCACGGCCAATCCAGGGAAAGAGTTAGTCTCTTCGACATCGTCTATTACAGACATTGAAGGTATTCCCGCAGTCAGCGACGCAGTCCCGTCTTCTCCTGGCTTTCAGTTTCTTACAACTTTCCTCACAATCTCGGCGAGCGGTGCTGCAGCGAACAGTGCAAATATCAGCCACCGCTGTTGACACGATCATTCCAACGACCAGCAAGGAAACCAATAATTTGATCTGAAAATTGGTAAGCAGTCATTTCTGATGTTTAATGGAAAAACCAAATCAAGAGCAGATAATGAAATTTAAATACTGCAAATGAAATGTTTCAAATACGTTTGAGAAAATATACATTCTTCAGATAAAAATTGATATATCCTGTACGTTCATGAACATTTGATATATGTTCATAAAGTGTTTATTTGGATGGCACAGGTTATAGAAGTAATCGTAAAATTTCCCTTCACAAAACTTCTTTTACTTACGTTCATTTTGCTCTCACTCAGGGACAATGCCTCTAATCTGCGGAAAATATAACATTTTTTCATGAAATGAACACTTTTCTGACAGAAAGCATACAAGATGCTTAACATTACAATAAATATATGAAAAAACATACCTTTTGACGTTGTTCGAAGATTTAAACTCTGTTAGAAAGATTGGGCTTTTATACTTTCTATTTATGAGTTATTAACAAACATTAAATTGTGATCTGCCATCATCATCGTTAATCTTGTAACATCTCTCTTTCATTATCTGGTCATTAACTTCAGAGTTGTGGGCTAAGTTAACCTAGTACTAGTAACTTTGAGTTTTACATAGTTTTTGGACACAACAATACATTTCGTTCTAAAGTTGTGTTTTCGACGGATTTTTCCGTTATTTCACGATCATGACAATGAGCACACGGCGGGTGAGACCGGTCAGCAAAGGATGCTCACTCTTCCATGGCACCTGATCTCACTTCTGATGTTTCGGAGGTCCGTGTTTGCTCTGCTCCTATTTTGTATTGTTTTATGGACTTTGATATTGAATACTGTTCGTTATCTCCATATCCTTCTCAACACTTAAATCGGTCCTAGAATTGCTCACAAATTGTTCAACAGAGGTTTTTACAGGAATACCCTAGTTCATTTTGATAATGTGTCATGTCTCTCATATTAAACACATTGTCTGGCATACTTCTCAACAAAGATGTATTGTCTTTTCAGTTGAAATAGCCGGTTTCCCTAAATGTTTGCCCTTTTAAAAAAAATTTCACATGCCTTAAGATACGGGAAAACATGACATGGTACTCAACTGAACTATATTGAAATACTTCTCCCGACCAATATGGGATTAAATGTAACTAAACATTATGGAGTCTATGTCTTGTTGACAAATTGTAATTTAAGGAAATTTGATCCTGAGCTTCTGAGCAGATTTTGGTCTGAACCTTTATTTCTAAACTTCTGCATCATTTTTAAGTTCTAATATTAAATCTGGATTCTACAATGCAAATTGAATGAAATTTTCCGTTATTTCCCGATCATGACAAGGAGCACACGGCGGTGTAACCGGTCGGAAGGGAATGCTTACTCCTCCATGGCACCTGATCACACCTCTGATGTTTTTGAGATTCGTATTTGCTTTGCTCCTATTTTGTATTGTTTTATGGACTTTTGACCTTGAATACTGTTCGTCATCTCCATATGTATAATTGTTATTGTTTTATCCTTGGTGTTACTATTAAGACTCAATATATTAAAACATATGAAATCACAAGCCATTTTATCTATAAAATCATATATTTTCATTAACATTTATAAGGTAATATCATTGTAGTGCTTTTTTGGAGGTAATGGGAACAAATTTATCATTTCTTATTAATATTTGAACAATATAACTTTTGTGCTACTTTTATGTCCTTTTTGTTCGGAAAATATCCTTCGTGTTACTAACACATTTTTACTGAATTAATATTTCCCCAACAATTATATCGAAACCTGCAAAACAATCCTGTTGTCATCTACTACAAAGTATATTTGAAGCCAGTGTTTTGTGCTGAGGGAAAATGATGTATGCTTTTAAGTTTATATGTAAGAATGATCAAATGTTACAAACCGGTCGCGGTTGCCTAGTGGTAGAGCGTTTGCTTCGAGATCGGGAGGCCTGAGTTCGATTCTCCTTCCCGGCTCTGCATCAAACCTAAGACGTAAACATAGGTAGTGACTGTTCCTTCGCCAAGCGCTCGGCACTAGAAGTGAAAGTCACAGGTCTGTTGGATATGACCTTAAAAACATAGGTCCTGTGTCACGGTAGGCGTTGGCACGATAAAGAACCCTCACTGCTCAATGGCCCTGAGTCCTGAGTATAGGTCTAAAGAAATACGCACGCTAACTCTCGATTCCCGCTTACATTTTGGAACCGTTTAATTCAATATAAATAGCAATTTGGCCATAAAATCTTTGTTTAATACAAAGAACAGTTCAATGGTAATTGATGAATTGTCTTAATACAAGCGCTAAACAATAAATTATCCATAATTCCAGCTCTTGAAGAAAGGGGGGTAGACGATATTTTCATTTGAAATCGGAGTTTCAAGCATCACCATATTTTGAAATAGTCTTGGATATGATTAAGTTTTCTTTATATCTTTTCTTATGTTTTAGACAAATAAATAAAACATAAATATATCAATAAAATATAGTGTTCCAGTTGTAAATCGCTTTGAAATTGGTGGAAAATGAGCATTTTTTGTATAGTTTTTTGTCAATGAACATATGCCCCCTCCCCCCCCCCCCCATGTCACACAAAAAGCTTTGGTATGAATTTGTGAACTAACATTCTATATTACCTGTAAAAAGGAATTTTTGTCACACGGGGCGGAAAGATGTTTTTTAAAATATTTTCCGTTTTTCGTTGATTTCTATAGCGAAAAACACAAGTTTTACAAGAATTTTAAAGTTATTTCTCTTTGTTTTCCCAAATAAGTAATGTTTTATGAAAATCCATTTAATTATCTATAAATTGTTTTTAAAAATTCATCGAATATGTTAACTTTTGAAAATTGACTTGGAGGTAGGCGGGAGAACAATACTATCGTTCGCAGTTCTTTGAAGCACCTTCACCGCTAAACGGTGACGTCTCCATATGAGTGAAAAATTCTCGAGTGGGACGTTCAACAATATACAATCAATCAATCAATCCATCAATCAAATGTTAAAACTCTTACAACTGACAACTATTCGTATGTGATCTGATAGATCTCTCTTAAGACTCCTGAATTTGTATTGATTGTATAATCCTTATCATGACGTTATAATTCTAGAAACTTTAAATTTTTGTAAGTTATTATCTTATTGCAGCTTCTAAGTAACACTAGGGACATTTATTGTTGGCTGCATGTACTTGTGCGTATTTATGTAAATAAAGAAATATATGTGATCTAAATGTTTACAGAGTTGTGGTATTTGTGTTTATTACAATTGTATAAATGAGCGGGTCTTTAAATCCCGGGTTATAATTTCTAAGCATCCTCTTGTGACGACTATTAGCCTGATCCTTATCAAAATAAAATTTGGCTCCCAAAAGCGTGGTGTAAAACTTTTATAGTAAATGTTAATAGAATGTTTTGTGTTTCAACATTGTTTAGAAATCTCTGATGTTTGATTGCTAAATTAAAACTTTTAAGAAATTGAGATTTCAGCATCTCACCTTAAGGCAATCACATCGCGTGGGTCTTTCCTTCAGACGTCGGAAAAACAACCTCCAAAGTTCTTAGGACATATGACACAGACTATCAATTATTTTGCTATACATTCCTTTATAATGTAAAAATTGATTTTAAAAAATCCCACCGTCTCAAATTACCTGAAACCTGGCACAGAGTAAGAAGAATTCAAAATTCAAAATAATTTTCAGGCTCTCGAGAAAATTCATAGGATACAGGTTCTGCTATGGCATCGCAAATAACCCCTACCCTGTTTTTTCACTTTCTCTTCGGGGAAAGGGTAAATATGTGCCTCTTTACACCCTTCCTACTACGCGTTTCACTGCAAAATTTCCCATTATTATCAATTTTATATTTTCTTTCAACCCCTCTCCTTTCCACCTATGCCCAAAAATAACACCATTCCACTCCATAAACATCCCAAAGAATTTTTAAGAAAAAAACTGTAGTTTTAAACTGGTACTACTTTCGTGGTCAATGAAATAGGGGTAAAATTAGTAGTCTATAACCTTTACATAAATCGGATGTGAAAAATTGTGAAAAGGGTGATGTCGTGGCGTCTAAGTATTACATTCGAGGTTGTTTTTCTGCTTGTTGGAAAGGCACGAGAAGTTGTGATTGACCTCAATGTTAAGCTCAATCACATTTACTATACTAAGGATGAGATTCATACAGTTGATAACAGATAACTGGGATTTTTGTAAGAAAAGAGCTTTACACACCTATATATTTCAATAACAACCTCCAAAATTAGTTCTTGCGAATAAACTGAGTACATATTTAGACACTCAGAGTATCATATATATAGGTAAAATTTAATTATAACTAGGAAACTTATCTGTTTTGAAATCCATCAATACATCAAATTGTTGTGAAATTGTGATGATATTTTGGAAAATAAAATGAGAACAAGAAAAAGTGTTTGAAACAATTCTTTTAATTTGATTTTCGATCATGAATCAGGTCAATATTTTCGGATTTCACGACCAATCCAGGGAAAGAGTTAGTCTCTTCGACATCGTCTATTACAGACATTGAAGGTATTCCCGCAGTCAGCGAACGCAGTCCCGTCTTCTCCTGGCCTTCAATTTCTTACAACTTTCCTCACAGTCTCGGCGAGCGGTTCTGCAGCGAACAGTGCAAATGTCAGCCACCGCTGTTGACACGATCATTCCAACGACCAGCAGAGAAACCAATATTTTGATCTGAAAATTGGTAAGCAGCCATTTCTGATGTTTAATGGAAAAACCAAATCAAGAGCAGATCATGAAATTCAAATACTGTAAATGAAATGTTTCAAATACGTTTGAGAAAAGATATATTCTTCAGATAAAAATTGAGATTTCCTGAACGTTCGTGAACATTTGACATATGTTCATAAAGTGTTTATTTGGATGGCACAATTTATAGAAGTGATCGTAAAATTTCCCTTCACAAGACTTCTTTTACTTACGTTCATTTTGCTCTCACTAAGGGACAATGCCTCAAATCTGCGGAAAATATAACATTTTTTTCATGAAATGAACACTTTTTTGACAGAAAGCATACAAGAAGCTTAACATTACAGTAAACATATGAAAATACATACCTCTTGATGTTGTTCGAAGATTTACATTCTGTTAGAAAGGTTGGACTTATATACTTTCCATTTATGAGTTATTGACAAACATTAAATTATGATCTGCCATCATCGTCGTCAATTTTGTAACATCTCTCTTGCATTATCTGGTCATTAACTTCAGAGTGTGGGCTAAATTAACCTAGTAACTTTGAATTTTACATAGTTTTTGGACACAACAATACATTTTGTTCCAAAGTATTTTACTCAACAGTTAAATCGGTCCTAGAATTGCTCTTAAATACTAGTGATTCAACAGAGGTTTTTACAGTAAAAATCTGGCTCATTTAGATATTGTCTTTTCTTTCATATTAAACACATCGTCTGGCATACTTCTCAACAAAGATGTATTCTGTTTTCAGTTGAAATAGCCGGCTTCCCTAAATGTTTGCCCTTTTAAAAAAATTTTTTCAGATGCTTAAAAATTGTCGAGAAAAACATGACATAGTCGTCAACTCAACTATATTGAAATACTATACCCAACCTTTCTGGGATTAAATATAAGTAAACTTTATGGAGAAAACTAAACTTAATGGAGTCAATGCCTTGTTGACACATTGTAGTTTAAGGAGGTTCGATCATGAGCTTCTGAGCAAATTTTGGTCTGGACAGTTATTTCTAAAATTCTGCATCAGTTTTAAGTTCTAGCATTAAATCTAGATTCTACAATGCAAATTGAATAGATTTTTCCGTTATTTCCCGATCATGACAAGGAGCACACGGCGGCTGGATCGGTCGGCAGGGGATGCTCACTCCTCCATGGTAACTGATCCCACCGTTGATGATTTGGAGGTCCGCATTTGCTCTGCTCCTGTTTTGTATTGTTTAATGGACTTTGATATTGAATACTATTCGCTATCTCCATATCCTGCATTCCATGAAAAGACGGCGGTTGAATTTGAACTACTATATATAGTACTGTTAATTTTAGATTCCTATTTTAATATGCTGGTTGAACAGACAGCTGTTTTTTGTAGTGAAATGTTGTATACTGGTTCTGAAATATCTATTTAATTATTTCTTATGAACTCTTTCAATGAAATTTGACAAAAATAGTAAATATATTCTGAAAGTCTAGAAAAAAAAACTGGAGAGAACGATCATAGGCAGTTATGCCTGCTGTTCAATCCATATCTATGAATGAATATATTTTAAATTAAAAAAAAACTGAGCCAATTTTAACATAAAATTGACACTTTTTTGTAATACCTAATAATTTACATCATATACCTCCACTTTTGATGTTCTTTTCTGAATATTTAAGGCAACTTTGACCTATCTGCTTACAGTCAGCAAAAGTTAGAGACATTAACATATTTTTTTTGCTTATTTAATTTTCAATGCCAGAAAAATCACAACCGGTTACAAATTGCCATCCCTATTTTTTATAAAAACATTCAAATCAACAACAACAAAATCATTAACAGTTCATAGAAATGCATATCAAACACCCTGATATTCTGTCTTAAATAAATGATGAATAAATAATTGTTCATGACATTGTTTTTAGTTGCAAAATACAGTCTGTCCACTTCAGAGTAAAGCAATGATTTCGCTTCTGATACTAAAACAAGTAACAGTTCTTGATAAAAATGCAGTGTTGCAGTGTTGTGTCATACCATATAATGAATAATGGCAGCTATGATTATGCTAACGTTCTCTGAGCCACACCCCTAAAGTCAAGTACCAGATGATGCAAGAGAAATGTTACAAATTTAACATTGGTGACAGATAACTATTCAAAGTTTGCTGATAATTCATCTATGTATAGTATAAAAGTCCCACTTTTCTGAACAGAATACAGTTCCTTCCAACGACGCATATCGGTATGTATTTCACGTTTCACAGAGATGTTAAAATTCTAGCAAGTTTCAGAACTTTATCAATAAGTTCTTGAGATCCTAACCAATGATCATTAAATTAGAACCTATCGGTAGATTCTTTTTATTATGGTATTATCTTTTATCTATCACAGATATTGTCTGAATCGTTTACCAAGTGCATAATGAACGTAAGTAAAAATAAAAATTTTCAGTAAAATAGATTTTTGGTTCCCTTCGTTGCAATTTATACCTTTCAAAGGAGATACGGGTTTTTCTTATCAGTAAATTGACATCCTATTGCAGTTGAATTAAAAATCCTTACCATCGAATTACATGTATGACTAATGTACATTTAACTGTTAGAATAAGATTGTTCATTTAACTGCATTCACATTTAATTAAATGAGCTTTCATATGGTTTCTCCATCTGACACAAGAAATGTATAAAATATTATCTGACTTACTTTCTTCTATACCTTTAAGATCAAACTATTGGTTTGTCTGCTGGTCATTGGAATGATCGTATCAACAGCGGTTTCTGATAATTGTACAAATCGCTGCAATGTCGCTCGCCGAAACTGTCAGAAAAAATGTGAAAAATTGAGTTCTAGTAAGAGGAGACGGGAATGCACCGCTACCTGCGAGAATACCGTCACAACCTGCAACAGACGATGTCGAAGAAACTGATTTAAGTCATTTCCAGCATAGATTGTTTGATTCTAAGAAAGAATGATTTGTGTTTGTTTGGGAATCAAATAAAAACAGATGCTTCTAATGAAAATGTCATGCTTTCTTTTTACAATCAGAGAGTTTACAAAACCCTGCCCTCAAACTAGAATATTAAAAGCTCTGTAATATTAATTTACTTGTAAATATCCTGCCTTCTTTTAAAAATCGTTAATACTCAGAAAGTAAGCTCGTCCTACCGAATCACCTGGGTGGAAAACTCCATATTCAGATAAATGTGAAATATTTTTTTCTATACATTGGGGAATTTGATGATGAAAAAGCTAAAGTCACTCAATTGTCATATAGATTACTTCTAAGAAGCTGTTAGATTAGCAATGTAAGGAAGCCGACTGGGGTTTTATTGTGCGAAAACTCGATAGCGAAACTCTTAATTTTATAAAATATCTTACTTACATTGACTTCAATGTACATGCCAAGTTTGAGAAAAATCTACCATCCAGGTATTTAAAAGGACCGTCTCAAAATACAGGTACATCTACTATAAAGGAAACTGCCAATGTTTCGCAATTTAAAGCAAATTATACGAAAACTACTATAGACTTTTTGCTCAGATTATAATTTATGATGAGTAATACTATATTATACATTATATGTAAGAAACACAAAATTCTATACTGTCTAGTTTTACGACGTCAATCTACCTATCAGTTAAAATATCCTTTTAAAAATCGGTCTTAAAAATTGTAATTGAATTTTTCAACCTGTAATTTCTCAATATTGTTAAATTTGTTAATTACGCTCGTAAATGGAAAAAGTTGCTATAAAACAGGAAATGCGCTTCATTTTACTATAGTGCGTGAAGTGTTGCGCAATGGAAACTTGAGTCGCCCCCCTTAATGACAATTTAAATCGAAAGTCGAATTCTCTATAGAATCTAAAATATGTATCGTTAATTCAGTGTTAGAAGTACCAATTAGCCAACCTATTTTTATATTCATATGAAGCAGAAATTTTTCAAAATCTTGCTTTAACTTCAAATTTTCAATCGTCAACTTTCCTCATTTATGAATCAATACACCCTTATCATCTGCAAATGGGGTTTGATTCTATAAGCAAAAGCTAGCTTGCACGAACTTTTTCTTAAACAGGGTTAATTATTGACAAACAAGTTGATGAAATAAGAATAAGGGGACGAAGGATGTATGGTCACATGACTCACCTCCTATCTGGTTACAACTGCATAAGCTACAAACTCTTTCATTTCTTTGAGTACCATTCCATCTACCTTTTTCAATTGGAAGGTGGTGATTTGTGGTTCTAAACGTAAAAGTTTTTCTAAATTTAAATGATAACAGTGTTAAATATTTTTCGCACTCAAAATTGGTTTTAAAAATTCTATAATTTAAACTTTTTGAAGATTCTTGGACTTCACTATTCCACTTTTGAATATATTGGTCTTTTAATCTTTGTTTGACTGTAGCAGTTATCCATTCTACATTATAAAAATATTGTTCGCGCTCATACCAGATATTTGATAAACCACATCTATCAAAAATCTTTTGTACAAATGAAATCCATGAGTTTTTCATTTCCTCTTTATCATGTTGTTTACGTAAATACATATATACTATTCTACATAATTTGTTTTCTTTTCCATTCACAAGTTTTGCCCAATATCTTATCATTCTTGAGTAAATATTTATGTGTAATGGAAACCTTCCAGTTTCTCCATAAATCATATAACTTGGAGTGTTACTTTTCGAATTCAATATATGTTTTAAATAACGTTAATGCACTCGTTCAATAATATCGATATTTTCATAACCCCATATTTCACAGCCATATAACAATACTGGTAAAATTACTTTATCAAACAAATCCAATTGACATTCGAAGGGGATATTAAACTGCCTAATTTTA